AGGGTATATTATATTTTAAGTAGCCACTAATCAATGGGAATCAAACCCGTGCCATTTACTTCGATACCAACTACAACGCACTTTATCTCTCTCCCCTTAAGCCAACTGGAAAAGGGCCAATTGCTTGATGAGAGAGCCCTTAATGGCTATTTTATCCCCATTTATCCCCTAAGGTTCCAAGGTTCCATGATGACAGTATATCCAAATCTCATCCCATGATCACATGCGCTACAGTGCTACTCAAAACAAGGAAATTCTTAGCATAGAGAATATCACAAAAAAGGTATAACTAAATACCTATGTCAAATTAACACCTTCAACACTATATAGAAATGGTTTAGGCAAGAGTTCAATATCCTTACTACTCAATGTTTTGACTATATTGTGAAAATAATAAACATATTAAAGAAACAAATAAATATATACATATACATACATATATACATATATATATATACATATATATATATATATACATACATATATATGTATATATATACACTTAACACATGCTAAAATAGTGCATATTGGGTTGCAACTTGAAACCTTTATGAGATTTGAGCAATTCAAAATGGTGACTATTTTAGAGCTTCTCATGTTTATTTTAACCTATAGAGCATGAGTTTGGGTAAGAATATATATACATATATATACATATATATACATACATATACATACATATATATACATGCCTCAAGCTTTGTATATGCCATACATTTGATGCATCTAAATGCCAATATCCTCCATTGACTCAAATAATTGCTTATAAAACCATATCACTTTCTTGTAAAGCCTTCTCCAGAGATGTTCAATTTGTTGGAAGATGAAAACCAAAATCTGGAAAGATTTGAGTAGATATTTTGTACCTAGTTTTGTGTTGAAGTGCATGGATAAAAGCCCTAGCTTGGGAGGCCCATATTTTATTCATATCCCTCTCTACATTAATGGCCTCTAATATGTGATCGCTCTTAATCCATTCTGGATGTAGCACACATGAATTTAGAGCCGAAATCCAAGCCCGTTGCGCTACGAAACAAGGGTCTAGTACAATCCCATGAGCACCAGCTCTTCGTATCCAGCACCTGCATGCAAAATGGTGTCAGACGGAGTCTAGCACAATTTTGGCATACCGGTGGCCTAACGCAAGGAGGAGGGTACCCCACCAACTAGAGCAGCATGGAACTTGGGCTTAGACCCAAGCCAAACACAAAACAAGGAGCGACATAGCCCAGCGGGAGCCAAACTAATGTCTCAAGTGGTTAAACATACATTTCAACCACTATCCCTACTATACATTTGGAACCACCTACAGCCCCCCCCTTGAGGGACACACGCTTTGGGCTTTCACCCCAAGCTTCCTTTAGTACCAGGAGTTAGTCTCTAGGACAAGCTCGAAACTTACTAAATAGATTGTGAATTTGGACACAGGACAAACACCATTGTGTTTAGGCCGATCTTTACATTCCATAAATATGCCAAATGAGCAAATCTAGACACTTTCCATAATTAGCATTTGGGACCGAAATGATACTAACACTAAAGGTATGATAGCAAGGGTGTTTGGCAAACACGGTAAGCTATCATTCAGCGATATTGAGGGACTAATCTCAATATACGGGGGTTCTTGATACTAGCAACTGCAAGCTAATGATAGGAGTTTCTCAAACCAAGCCGAGTATGCTCAGCAAGAAACACATAGGGTTCCTACCTTATGTTTATATGATTTAAGTACATGGTCATTGACCAGTTTCTCAACTAGCTCAAGTGGGAACAATAAAGGGAACCAACTGTACCGACTTTCTGCCGTCATGGCAGTAAGGAAAAAGTGTCCATAAGGAATGACTGACAAGTATTTTTCAATACCCGAAGTCACATTTGCAACATTGAATGACCAAATTTGTGAATAGCATGCGCATAGGTGTTCAAAATTGCATATGACTACTTTGTAGTCAATACTTGCAAGAGATGTTGTAATATATAGCACCACAAATCATGGCATGGATAAAAAAATTTGTATGATACTAGTTTATAATACACTATGAGAGCAAAGTATGAGATGGTAACATAAAAAAGTTTGAAAACTAAATCAGGTACTCACAATCCATGTGGCACAGTGTATATGGCACTTCATTGGTATATATCCATCTTTGAATCCTAGATAAGTGCCTTTGTGCAAGCCTTGTAGGGTTGTGTATAGCTAAAGCTTTGCAAATTTGATGTCGGCTAAAACAGTATCCTACCATTCGATAGCTTGAGTAGGCATTCATAATCCCCCATGTAGTACCACTGTGATTCATGGCAACATTAATGAGGACATGATGAAATACCTCTAATAGTGGTATCTTACTGTATATGTTGTCCAATTTACATCAATGAACTTTATATAGTTGTACAATGGTGGCTTTAAAATCTGTAGATAAGATGCCAAGTAGTCCATTGTCTTGGTCTCACAAATCTTCAAGTGCATCCACAAATAAAAAGCAGTTAAATTGCTAAAACCTCTAGAATCCAAAAAATGTTGGAATTCCTATAGGTATGGAGTGTCCATGAAAAAGAATTTGTACTGTGGAATATTGCATTTGCCAGGTGGCAACATTTGATTGGCCTGCCATCTATTATGCACATCCGATGGGCATCCAATGTGATCAGATGCTTTTTATGATCTGCCATTATGGGTACATAGCGATTAGGGTCATCTTTGAGGTGAGCCTGTTTGTTGCTGGGCGGGGCACCATGGTGGAGTCTAGATCCAATTGGTATTAAAAAATCCACAAGGTGATTCATATTTGAAATAGTTAATCTTTCGATGACAATATTTGTAAGGAGGTTTTGACATATAGTATACACAATCAAGTTTAAGAAACATGAGTAAGTTTCTATTATCAATTTCAAACTTTTTTGTTATACAAACTTCTTTGTTATAGATAATAACATTTTTTTGCTTGAGATTTTTGTTAGGTCTCATGGAAGAGCAAGATGGTATAAGTGGACAGTCTATCCCATACCACTGTTAAGATCATCTCTTCTATTGCTCAAGAATCAAGAGAAGAGAATATAATGATCTAAGGAGAAGCAAAACTTTTCTTCAACATCTGAGAGTGATAATAAAGATCAATACACAGAGGTATATAATTTTGTATTCTGAGTAAATTCTTATAGGAATTCCTTATAATGTTGGAGACAAACAAGGTCTCCAGTTGGCTACAAACAGCATGATTATATTGCTGAATTGGGAACAATCCTGATGTACAATGAAGGAATAAAGAGAATAGAATGTTAGCCATAAGTGAGAGAACATAAAATAACCTACCCGTCACCACCCCCTGCTCCACCTTTATACTCATAACATGGTCGAATACTCTGTACTTGCAGCACAGCACCCCCAGAATCATGCAGAGCGGCCAGTTCCTTAGTAGAACCCAGGTGTCATTCTCTGCTATCATCCCCTACCAATGAATCCGAAAACGGGAGAATGTCTTGTTGCACAACACCTGATCTTCCTGAGCCACGACCATCTCTGTGATAAGTAACAATCTGTCACCCATGGCTATTGTTGAAGTTGGTATTTCTGGCTGGCTTGGAAATAGTCATGTGAAGGCGCGAATCTTGTGGAAAAGTTTGTACACCACCTCATTGATTTGTTTGTCGACCTGATAAGAGCGAGGATGGAGCTTGGACTTGGGACACTCTTCTGCTTCCCAATATGTCTGCCACTCGACAAAAACATACATATCCACTTGAAATTCACGAAATGAGTGTCTTCCGTCAGCAGACTGCTTCATCGGTTCCTGGCTGCTTCTAAATGGTGTAAAACCAGCAACTGGATTTCCCGAAGAGCAAGCAGGTGTTCGTTGCCAGCCGGTGAATCTGTGGGTTTAAAATCAAACAGACCTGGAACTTCCCGTCCATACAGAGTTGTGTATGGTAGCATCCCAATGGCCAAGTGGAGTGTTTTGTTAAATTCATACTGCACGTGAAGCCATGATGTCGGTTTGCCACTGCAGCAAACACGAGCATTTCTGCCTGAGCATCCGACTCTGGATGGTATGCCTACCGAAAATTAAGCTTCATACTGTCTGGAGAAATCCAGTACTCAAAAGCAAAATGAGTGTTCTCATTCCAAGTAAACTGGATGGACCTAAAAGATCAGACAGTGGTAGATGCATAATTTACAACAAACTTACTGAGATAGTTGCAAAGGCCGAGTACCTCGGCTTCATTATTGATGGGGGGCAGGTAAAGGCGATAGCGAACTGGCCGGTCAGTCAAAGAGCTACGTTCTTTTTTAATCTCTGTTATACCGAAGGAACACTTGCTCAATTTGCCCACAAGCGAGAACTCGTCAAGAACTTGAAGAGTCTTCTCGAAGTGGCATAAATGTTCCTCCCAAGAGCTGCTATACAAGAGAATGTCATTAAGAAATACAATGAAAAAGAGGTGATTCATCATTGCCTGAAATGTAGCAGGATCGTTTTTCCACCAATGTTGCCATGACTAAAGAGAGGAGAATGTTGGCCACCGAGCAAAGACGTAGGGTAGCGAGAACCAAGAGAGAACATAAAATAACCTACCCGTCCTGCTCCGCCTTTATAATGTCACTGAGAAGTGCTCTTGGGGTTTGTCCCTGGTTCTTCATTCGTGTCTGGCAAATGCAATCGAAATGCCATTGTCTCAAATTGGAGGTGACCATCGTAGGAGATGAAATCCAATGTTTCACTAGAAACTCCAGGTCACAAATAGTGGCATTTAAAAGGACTTTCAAATTAGAACAACGAAGCTCTTGGTTTTGGATCTGTTGATAAAAAATAAGAAAGAAAAGATCTGCCCTGTTTCCCTAATCCATCTCTCCGGGTTTTGAAATCATCCCATCTCGCTTTGCGCGCTTTTTCTCGGTGGATATTCTCTTACGCTGGAATAATCTTTTAAAAGCGCGATGGTTACGTTGCCTTTCTTAAATACAAGCTAGGACATTTAGATAGCCACGTGTCCGCATGTGATTCATGCAAATGAAAGCTTTAGGTTGGAGCTGGGGCTCTAGGGAGAGCATGGCCGAGGATCGGATGTGCCGTGCTTGTGTGGAGACGACGCTGGGCACCCGGTTGCTCATCATCGCGCCCTTGCACACCACCATCGCCGATTTGAGAGGTATACAAGTTGAGATGATTGAATGTGGGTTGATCTTTCACAGGGAGGATTGAGGCGGCGCATGTCCAGAACTTTCCAGAGAATGGAGAGGTCGTGATCAAGTCGATCATGGTAGCTTCTTTCTCTCTACCGCGAGCTTCTCCCTCACTTTTTTCTGTCTCGGTTGTAGATTATGGTAGCTGGGTTTTGGTACGCGGTCACCGAGGGATCGCTGGGTGTGGTGGCCCAAGGTACCGACGCCTTGTTTAAGGTGGACCTAGAACTCTTCCCGGAGGATGTCGAAGGGGACGAAGCGGAGCCCAAGAGGCAGAGGAGGGATCATGTCGGATCCCATGGAATCTTGCCGCAAAGGCTTGCCGCTCTTGAGCAGGATATCCTGGCCGCGTTGAGGATTTGCGAGGAGTGGATATCATCTCACGTCCACGATGGTGGAGCTCCGGGCCTTGCTGCTGTCGAGGGCACTGGCGATTTTGACGTTGCTGCTGGTCAGGTGGTCGAAGGCGCCGCGGATTTGGACCTTGATCAAGGGGCTGATCCTGTAGATGAAGTCAAGCCGGTTGCCAGTGTGGAGATAGTCCCATCGACTCCACTTCACGCAGTGGCCCGAGCCACCGAGGCGGCAGCTGCGGCCTTTGAAGTGCAGACTGGCACCCAGATCATTGGCACGCAGATCATTGGCACCCAGATGGTCCAACCTCAGATCCTGGAGGATTTCGAACCCGTGCCAACTCAAGTTCTTGACAACTCCGCCAAGGAGGAGCTCAAGTACCCGCGACTCTTCGCGGTAAGAAGACTTCGTCGTTGAGCTGGTTGTCGAGTAGAATCGTTTTGTGAAAGCTTCGGATGTATGGTCTATATAAATCAATCTGTTGGGAGAGTTTTCTAGTATGTGAATGTTCACGTCAATCAAGAATCGTGTGGACCATGGCTTGGTTTGTTGCCCTGACAGCTTGGGATGGATACGTTCCCTCTTCCTCTTATACGGAGAAGTTTATGGGATCCTACTGCCATCTAAACGTCTCGCAGAGCAGCAATCTTGCCCAGCTTGGCCGGATTTAGATCTTCGACATGTATTTGATCGCTCCTTAGATGCTTGCCTTCACGATCCGGATGATTTGGATCCGTGTCTTTTTATTCTCCTAGCTAGTTCCTGGCATTTGATCTGAAGGGGAAGGAGGGCAAGCAGCCGATCAACGGCTGTGGGAAGCTCGATCTCGCAATTTTCTTGCCCGCAACACGAACAATAGAAACCCCAGGATGGCGATCGAAGCAAGTTGCTAAGAACTGCCAGTCTTGCCCTTGCCGCGCATTCTGTGCTTGATCGATCGATCGATCGTCAAGTCCCTGGAAGAATTTGGGATCAAGAAGATCAACGCCGGACGGAGATGAAGCGGCTACTGGAGTGGAGTAGATGGAGGCGGGAGAGATCGCGTTCACAGGCTCGTCTTGAGGGAATCGCTCCTCCTGACAGATTCGGTGCTGGGAAACATCGTCATCCAGATGTATCTTCGGTGTGGCTCCACGGATCTGGCGCTTGACTTAGATGAAAGACCAATTTTGGCACGGACTTCTCTTTTTCGGCATTGACCTTTGCGAGGCATTTTGTCTGTAAGATGCTCCACTCGGGGGGTCTTACCGGACAGAGGATTTCGAATCCGTGCCTACTCAAGTTCTTGACAACTCTGCCAAGGAGGAGCTCAAGTACCCGTGACTCTTCGCGGTAAGAAGACAATAGACGTTCTGCGTCGCGGACAGGCCAGCGTATTTTGTAAATTTTGTGAGCGTTCTGGGGAGCGTCTGCAAATTGTGAGAGAGGATTTTACAAGATATTGCTGGAGTGCCGCTGCATTCGGGGTAATGCTAGTTACTCGGCACATTGTTATTTGAGGTTTTCTTTGCTAGACGGTACGAGGAAGTTTTCTCGCTTTTGGTCTCTCCTTCATTCTTTTTGTATTTAGCTCTCCAAATCTATGAGCAGATACAAGATCTTCTTTTACCAGGTATCAGTTTACTGAGTGGCCTCTATACATTCGAGGCTTTGGTGTACAGGATTGTGTGAGGAATGCTGCCTGCTGCGAGGAGAGCGACTTCAGATACTTGAAAAACACGATTTCCAATGAAGCCGACGGAACCTGAATACTTGAGCAAGTGATTGCAAAATCATGTGTTGAAATCTAAAAAACTTGCAGTAATTAATTATAAGAGTGAAAACACAAACCTTTGTAGATGCTTGATGTTACAGAAAGAAAGGCTCGCTAGTTTGGCTGAATCAAATAGAAGAACATCATATGTCCGTAGGCATAAGGACACATATCGGTATGCAAAAGTTTATAAGAAATTCCAAGCAAGCTTAAAACACCTCTTTTTTACTTAGTGATCTGGGAAAACATTGCTCAAGCGTTTGTGCATCTTGCTAAAAAAGACTGAAGTTTATGACTCTATGTGTTTCAATACTTTGGCTGCTTCTCAACTTCTTCTGTGGAAGTTGAATGCCAAGAAAGATGAAGCCAAACTGGCACAAGTCCGTTATCCCAAAATTTCGTTGCTTTTAGCTTTGAGTTTTCTTTCATGTAGTTCTAAATTTTCAAAAGATTATAGAAGGGAATGCTTTACAATATATAACACTAAGTACACATGCAAAGACCAATTTCTCAACTAGTTTGGGTAGAAACTGTGGTTTCTGATTGTAGGATATTTTCATTGTCATGCTTATACTTGTTTATAATAACACTATTGAGATTGGATTGTTGCAAGAGTTTAGTTGTTGCAGTACTTTATAAAATTGCCAGACAGCTGGGCTATACAGACAGATTTAAGGTTATGGTAGCTATAATAATGTGCTATTTACTAGTTTGTTTTGAAGTTCTTGAAGCAGCTGCTCAGATCAGTTGGATTGCTATCATTTCATAGTGAACTCTCGAATGTATACAAATCTTGAAGTTCTAACTTTTATTTGATTCAGTTCATTAGTGGAGGAGAAATTTGCCTCTATTTTTGCATTCCTTGCTGCTCTGGATTGCAATGGATATGATAAGGCCTCGTTGGTTCTTCAAAGTCCTCTATTCAAAACTCAAATTCAGCAGGAGAATGTTAGGAGGTGATCAAAGTTTGAGGTTGGCATGTACAATGAAATGATTATCTACAGTAAGGTACTAGACAGAAGCTAGGGTTTATCACAATTCTTTCTCTTTTCTTGTATTTCTCATGATTCCATCCAGTATAGCTCATGGGATTTGGGTCTCTATAGTGGTATCAAAGCATTCATCCCTGGGTAAGGAGCTTCCACACCATTTGGAGAGGATCCTAAAAGGGATAATTGTACTGGACCTAATTGGTTCCTGTCCAGGAATCATTATTTCTTCTATTAGCATTGGGTGAGTTGGAGAAATAGGTTTTGTAGTTGGATGGCTTCACCATCACCTCTAGCCAAGTTTGTGACAAGGCACCCCAAACAGCAACAAGTTATGGAGGATGAAGAGCTGGAGAGAAGATGATGATCAAGTATGCAATACAGCTGACAACAAGAACAAGACTGACACATTGGCAGTTCTTCAACAGCTGGAATCAACCATGTAGGCTATGACAGAACAAACCATGGACTGACCTTGATCTTTTAAGAAATGTTTGAGTGTTAGCATACCTATTGGGACCTAAAGGTTGGTGAACTATGCCTAAGCAGGGCAAAGCTAGAGGAAACTTTGGTGGGGCTCATAGTGATATTGACATGCAAATTGTTTGTCAAACTTGGGTATAAGGACAAAAAACTAATTGAACCATCTAGTAGTTGTTTGGGACCAACTGTTGAAGCTATACTAATGCCAGCTGCTTTACCTATTTAAAGTTTGAGAACAATGCCTCTAATCATTCGCTTTACCCAATAAAACTCAGCCAGAGCTCCAGCTATCTTGAAGGAAACTTTAGACAGTACTAGCATTGATGAGGTGCATCAATGGTGACCAACACATAAGGAATGACATTAGTTTATTTTGACAGGCTTGAAATCTGTTGGTTTTAGCCAATGTGTGAGGACAAGGTGTTCCCTGGTTGTTGTCCTTGAGAGCATGACATATGTGATGCCCAGTGTGAATGCATTGTTGACGTCAATAAGAAGGTTTCTAGTGATTGTTCCGCCTTGGGACTTGTGTGCAGTGATTGCATACTGCAAGTTGGAGTGGGAAGTTGGCCTTGTACTCTTCATCTTGTTTGTCCCTGAAATGGTAGTCTGTCCTCTATACAGTGATGAGCTTGTTGTTTGTGTCGAGGCATATGGTGATGCTGTTGATGTTGTGCTTGTCCCTATGGAATGATTTGATTATTCCGGTTGCACTATTGACTGCCCTGTATTTCTTGTCTATGTTGATTGTGATAACAATCTTTGCATTAAGTGCAATACATCTGAGAGTGTTGTCATTCACATCATTGGCCCACTCTGTGTCAGCATTGTCGTTGTGGTACATTAGTACATCAAAAATCTCATCTGCCTCGAACCGTGCATCAAGCATTGGCTCGTTGATGTTGCATATCCTGGCCCTCGTGCAGCATATGATTGTAACGTCAAACCATTCGGGGTCTTTGTTTTCATTGACACACCTGTGTGTTTGTTTGTTTTTCAATATGCATTTGGTATGGAGGTGCTTGCCTTGACAGTGTTGCATCTATCTCTTCTTATGTTGGTGCTCTCATCCTGATTATGTTTAGGAAGTTGAGAAAGTTTGGGTCTGCTGCATGCCTAACAGATGTTTTGAGAGTGTGCTTATGTACACATGCCCAATGTTGTGATGACATGATTATGCATTGCATACATGTTTCTGTCTCTGGATCCTTGTGGTGGAAGCATACCAGGGGCAGCTGCGCAAGGTCTTCACATAGTACAAAGAGCTTGGTCTCAAAGACGTCATCATGCTCGTACTTGTCACAGTTTTGTATAGATACCTCATCAATGACGACAAGGTCGGGATTTGAGATGATCTTGTACATGTCATTTTCTGGTGTGCATGTCATGTTGCATGTATCATCACCCTTGACGGGTATTTTGAATGCTGTGTGCACTGTCATCCCATTGTCTCCAAGATGTAGTGCTGTGGCTGTTAGGCACCAGGTTAGGATAAAGGATAAAGAAAGGGCCCTGCAATCGTGATCACCCCTTTAGCCAGTTAGCTTAGGGTGTAAGGGATAGGATCCTAGCAATGGTATCGGAGCCTAGTTCGATTCTCGTGGCTGACGAATGGGGCAGGAATATTCTAAAGGAATATTCAACATGGTGGATCTAGAGGGAGAACCAAGGTTTGGTAGACCTTAAGAGAAGGACCATGGTAACCGGAGGGTGGCCTAAGAGAAGGACCATGGTAACCGGAGGGTGGCCTAAGTATAATCGTGGACGATCATTCCTTGACAACTTAATAAAGGGTTTAGCACTGACCTCATGATAATATATATGATGACCAAACCCTTAATTAGCTTGGTGGAGACTAATAAAGGGTTTAGCAATACTAACCTCTTATTATCATGGTAGTAAGGAAAGAACCAAGGTTTGGTAGACTCTAAGAGAAGGACCATGGTAACCGGAGGGTGGCCTAATAAAGGGTTTAGCAATACTGACCTCTTATTATCATGTTAGTAAGGAAAGAACCAAGGTTTGGTAGACCCTAAGAGAAGGACCATGGTAACTGGAGGGTGGCCTAAGTATGATTGTGGACAATCATTCCTTGACAACGGGTGGCCTAAGTATGATTGTGGACAATCATTCCTTGACAACTTAATAAAGGGTTTAGCACTACTGACCTCATGATAATATATATGATGACCAAACCCTTAATTAGCTTGGTGGAGACTAATAAAGGGTTTAGGGCCTAATAAAGGGTTTAGCAATACTAACCTCTTATTATCAT